AGAAAAACCCGAGAATTCTGATTTATCAATCACTAGCATTCCACCCGTAAGAGAGCGTTTGGTTGAGATCAACGACCTCCTGAGCAGGTTACCAAATGCACAAGGATAGGGGTACAGAACCCTGTGGCAGCAACACTACCCACACCATGACCCCCAGATGGCCTTATGATGCCACACAGAGGTGAACGAAATTGAGATATTACTGCTCCCTATCAAAAGTGTTTTTACGAAGCAAATCCTCTACTACGTTATCTTCATCTGCGCCCTATACCACCTCCCAACCAAAGAATCGTCCCAGGGAAAACCCTGAGACGAAACTTTGGCTTGGGAGGTAGTGTGGGGCATAGAACGAGGTAACACAGTAGAGGTGGAAACTCCTCACATCCCTGGTTGTGTAATTAAGTGGGATGGGGAGGGCAGAAAGGAATATAACTGCATTTGCTCATAAAAATTGAAATAAGAAGGAGGTCGTAAAGGATCACACGTGTTCTGTTATCGATTCACCCTCGAAATCAAAATCTGAAGGTCTAATACACAGAACACAAATGACACACACGCTATCCTCTCATTTGAGAAGCAAGATAGGCGGTGCAGGCGCACGCAAGCGGCATCATGCCTTGCGGATCAAGCATTCCACGGATTCCAAACTTCAACACGGAGCCTGGACGCGGCCAACTGTTCACAGAGGGACAAGTTTGCAATTGTGGAAATGAAGACATCGAAATTGAGGCTGTGAATTGAAGCTAGAAGGGCGGAATCAACACAAACCTAACTTCGGTAAAAGATTCCACCATTCCTCAGTTGTGAGCAATACATACATCGCCCCGTTGCTGCGTCTCTGCCGCAAAACACCCAAGAGCAGAGACGCAGGCGTTGTTTCCGCCATGGTTCGCACATTCCCTGCTGTCAACGGCACTGCCAAATACCTAACAGGATCGAGCGTACGTGGAAAAATGGTCGACCCAGGAAGGGAAAGGGTTGCTTGTATGAGCACGCTTCCTCCATGCGAACCAAAATGAGAATCTTATTTCATGGGTTTTCGATACATGCCACTGATCAACGAGCATCCACTGAAAGAAACCAGCGCTTTTTTTCTATCGGTACACAAACTGCCACAGAAATGTCACTTCACAGTTATCGTGCGGTTTCAGTCATTCGAACAACATCTTTCAAGTTTTCTTTGCAGATAAGGAGCTCGAGAGAGTGGATGGCATCAGAAGAATCTTGGAATACCCCCTTGGGCATCCTTCAAAACGGCTCTAAAAAATAGCACTTCGCTAAGTGGTGTTACTTAGAGAGTCCAGCAATTTGAACGAAACCTGGTCCTAGAGAACTTCGAAAATCAAGCAGCGCTATTGAACAAGCCTTCTCTCCTACTCCGACCACAAACCATGTACATAGTCCTTTTGGATAGCGCCATCGGAGTCGACGTCAACGCCCGAGTGGGAGGAGCAGGTTCCACTCATGAATGGATTATCGGCAATGTCAACGTCTCTTGACGTTGGTTGACGCCTCATAAGCTATGCAATGGGCTGAAACTTCGTTGTGGCATCATTAGGCCCTCACGAAGACACTGACAACAACTCTGGGGCCATTCAATGTGAGTGAATTACGGCTGGAACGTTGTTTTAGAGATATTTATAAGATGAGAATTTGCATCGATTCATGATAGCATTGAGTCCTTTGGAAATAAATGACCACGCTTTGTTGTCGAGGAATGAGATTATCAGCTGCTCTAATAGCTGAATGCTAATACCATCTGCACCATTTCCCACCCTTAACAACGACGAGAAAGCAAAAAAAAACCATTTTAAGGTGCACAAAAAAAGATTGCGATAGAAAAGTCTTGAAACTTCTTTAAGAAAAAAACTTGGGACGAGGAAAAAAGCTGGAAATGCGAATATCGAAACCAATTCGTAAAGATGGCAAGACCGCATCATGAAGAAAGAGTCGCCATTGTATCGAGTGCGATATTTTTGCATTTTCAAGCTAATTTTCCGTCAACCCATACTCAGCGAGTCTCCCAAAAACGATGCCACTTAGGGTCAATGGGCCTCTGGTTGTTAATATTTCCGTAGAATCTGCCAATCTCGAACAAAGTCAATTCACTTTTTCAACAAAATAATTCAACGACTATGTTTGTAAAACAAAACAAATGAACAGCTAGCACAACAGTCCATCTTGGAGATGCTAGAATAAAGCAGAGGGGTTCACTACTACAACTCAACCTTGCTTGTAAGCACCTATACCGGAAGCAATGAGGTCTGCCAAAAATTTGGGTAGAAAGACGTGTTTTCGTTTCTTTCGTTGTTCACGCTTGCTTCTACTTGTTAGATGTACTACATAACAAATTGAAATTGTACATTTCAAAAGTTACTGATTGGACAGCTAGCAAGAGGGGTGAAAAGCGGTGATGTTAAACTTGAAAGTCATTAATGAGGGATAAGAAAAGGATCGATGGAGCTGAACACTAATGAAAAAGTCCTAGGATCCATTAACCCCCGCATAACATATACAAAATCAAAAACCAATCTTAAAACTCCCACTCTGTTAGCAGTCGAAATTCTCCGTTATTTGACCTTTCCCACAAACGCTTAAACTGAGAACTCCCAAAATTTGAGCAGACGTCGATTAACTAGTAACAATGAAACGAAAAACCCGATAAAATTGTGAGCACATCGAGGTTAAGAGGAAAAGTCCGCCGAATCGTGGAATACGTCAACTGTGCACCGAACTTGCGCCATCCTGCTTGGCCTTGGCGCCTACATAGATCCCATTCTGTTCGTGTTTTGCAGAATTTCGATACTTTTTTCGGATTTTCCACTCAGTTTTATTCTTCGAAGATGTCGGTGCTAGCAAGATTTCGGCCAACCCTCGTCAACAGTGCTCGTACTGGCTTGCGGTTATTCTCTGCAGCCAATCCTAGTGGTATGTGATTAACAAAATTATTAGTAATTTATGTCTACCAGTCAAACTAAAAATTGAACTATCAAGGGGATCTTTTTTTGGGTGATGCTCCCTCTAACTGCTGGTTTTCGCTGAGTAATGTCAGAAGCCGAAGTATTGTTCATAATTTGCCAACCTTGAGAAAATTAATTTAGAAGTTCAAGTATTCTTGTCCTGCACTAAGGGAAGGAAGGCAGTTAAGTGGTCCCAAAGTTTGTGGCTTCAGCCCTTTCTTTCTGTCCTGAAATTTGCTCATTGGTTCAAGTGTTTGCTGTTTTACACTGGTTAAATAGGTCACCTAACTTGAAGAATCGATTAGAATCTCGTTTATTTATAAAGCAGAATTTGGCGCGTCGGTTTGTGTGTTTGTCGGTTTGTCCGTCTGTCCATCCGTGAAACCTTATACTTACGGTAAAGGTAGAGGTACAGGAGCTAAGCTCTATCCTACATTTCTTTTTTATATTTAAAGCAGTAATTGGTGGGTAGGTTAATGGAGTAGAGTGAGTGGGTACTTCAAAACTGTGATTTCGATCTGAGCTGGCATCGTGCTTTATATGTCTATACAAAAATTGGCGTTGATGATGTAGTTGAGAGACCTACGCCTTTTTTTAACATCGAGAGCGCAGACAAGGAGGTTAGCCCATGTTGGTGCTCAGGAACGTTTCTCGTTTCGAGAACATACCGTTTTTGTGACCCGAGATTTCTTTGGGAGGAGTACCGAGGTAGGTGAGTCAATTGAATTTTCAACTCACACCCCATTCTAAATAGCTAAATTTGCACGAGGTCATCATCTCACCCCCCACCCCGGCGCTCTTCCCCCTACTGAGACTTTGATGAGAACTATATTCTTCAGCCTAGAACCTACTCTCAGCGCAGGTAAGGTCGACTACCCCTCATTTTCTGCACTCGAACCCTCAGTGTTTAATGAAAGCGATGCCTCCTTAGACGCGCGAGGCTTCGTTAGTTAGAGTATAAAATACTCTTCCAAATACATACCAACGAATACACCTGACCCATTCCTGCGCTTGAGCGTGAGGAGAGAAAGTGCCATGTCGGCGCAGCGGTTCATGTCATACTGCTTCAAGGCATGAGACACCCTTCGACCGAGCTTCCGCACCTTGCCGACTGGCTTCAATCCACGAATACTTGTGGACTGACTCCCCAAGAGTGACTGCCAGTTCTCGAGTAGTTTGGCACGGATCGGTTTCCGCCTGGCTCCGCAGCACGTCCAAACCCAACTCCATTGAGCGTTCCGGACGGTCTTCATCTTCGATGGAATGTCCGTCCGACGTGAACTTCGAGTGCCACTTGTTAATTGTGCAGGAGCAACCTTCTTGTAAACTTCTTCATACGTCTATCGATCTCCGCGGGTTCTTGACTAGATAAAAAAGCAGTATGGTGTTGCGGAGGTGGGGTTGCGACGGCTTGAAATCATGAGGCATGGTT